GGATATCACATAGTGGCAAGGGAATCTTGCTCCCTGGCAACTATAACTTCTTGCTTGGGTTAACACTGAGAGGTAACTATTTTTGAAATTTAAATTCTGGAATGAGACTTGCTTTTTCCCAGATAAGACTGTAATCTGCACAGCAGCGACAATGGGAATGCTTGAGGAAGGGTGAGCACCTTCAAAGGATGACCAGAATATGTTTACGGGAAACTGCAGTGATAGCTGGAGCTTGAAATGCATCCTGTTCTCATTTTTTAACAAAAAACATTTAATCAATAAGTTAATTTTTTCTGATTAAATTCATTAAAAATTAAGAATATACTTATTTTTATCAAAGTAATATATGTTCTTGGTTAAAAAAAATCAAACTGAAGAGCTTATAAAGAAAAACAACCATCCTGTGCCTTGTCCCTTTGCCCATCCTGCTCATCAGAGGTCACATGTTCTAATTTTAGCTGTTTCTTCTTATAGTTTCTTCCGTGTCTCTAAATAATATGCAGTACAACTATTTCTGGATTTATCAATTTTAGCTATTAGCTGTTGACTTCTGCTAAGTTAGCTGAATTTTTATCTCACTTTATTAACTTTCAACCCCTTTCTCCTAATATAATTATATTACTCCCTTATTGGTTATCTTTGCAGCTTTAAAATATTTAAACCTTTCTTTTTTATTATATCAGCCCTAGACACCATCCCATGATTGTTCTCACTTTCCTCTCTAAACTTATCATCTGTATTTTTATGGTGTTGAAATTGATAAGATTATATTCAGATACTTATAGTTAAATATTTCATGCTTTTCTGTATGTTGGCTTTAAAAATTGGAAATTAATAAGGTGTTTACACTGTTGTGACAGTGATGAGACATGGTGTGATTTGGTTTCCCTTCTTGTACAGCTTTTGTTTTGATTCTTCTACTTTTTTTTCCTGCCCACCCCCCACCCCCAAATTAGGTACTTATATTGACTTATTTTTTTAAGATTTTATTTATTTATTAGAGAGAATGAGAGAGTGAGAGCACGAGCCAGGGGGGAGGGGCAGCGGGAGCGGGAGAAGCAGGCTCCTGGCTGAGCAGGGAGCCAGATCCTGGGCTCCATCCCAAGGGCCCTGGGATCATGACCTGAGCCCAAGGCAGATGCTTAACTGACTAGAGCCACCCAGGTGCCCCCTATATTAACTTTTTATGTTGTTTCAGATGATCAGGAATATCATCAGGTACTGACCTCCTTTATCCCTAGATAACTCTCTTCTGGAACTTCTGTTCTCTGAACCATTATGTGCTGAATGCTTTCTGTTAGCTTCCTTCCCACTTTCTATATTTGGAGCCACTTTACCCCCCCTGGTTCTCATGTTATCTTCTTTCCTTATTCCTCACTTTGCTGATAAACATCCCCAAGTAAGTTCCCAAGAAAGAATATGTGGGAAGAGTGCCTGGCTGGCTCAGTCGGTTAAGCATCTGACTCTTGATTTCGGCTCAGGTCATGATATCAGGGTCCTGGGATTGAGCCCTGTGTCGGGCTTTGTGCTCAGTGGGGAGTCTGCTTGAGGAGTCTCTCTCCCCTGTCCCCCTCCTGCCAGTCATGTGCTCTCTAAAATAAATAAATAAAGCTTAAAAAAAAAGAATATGTGAGAAATAACTTTCCTAGGTATTTGCACATCTGAGTATCTTTATTCTACCCTCACATTTGATTGTTTTAGTTTTTAAAAAATGTCTCTGGCTTTTTCTCAAGTTGTTCTTTCTCTTGTTCCTGTTAGGATGCATGTTGTTCTCTTGGATTGATGCTCTATGTCTTATTTTAAGAAATATTTCCGTCTTGGGTGCCTGGGTGGCTCAGATGGTTAAGCGTCTGCCTTCGGCTCAGGTTGTGGTCCCAGAGTCCTGGGATCGAGTCCCACATCGGGCTCCCCCAGGGAGCATGCTTCTCCCTCTGCCTCTCTCTCTCTCTCTCTCTCCCTCTGTCCCTCATGAATAAATAAATAAAATCTTTAAAAAAATATTTTTGTCTCTGCACTACTCTCTATGAGACTTTACCTTCTAATATTTATGCTGAATTTTTAATTACTCACTTTTAATTTACAGGGGGTCTTAATTGTTCTCGCTCTCTCTTTTTCATAGCATCCTGTTCTAGTTTATGGTTGTAATAACTCTTGAATCTCTCTGAGGATACTAATTGGGAATTTTTTTAAAGTTATTTTTTTGTTTCCTATATTATTTCTGCTTCTTCCATTGTCATTTTTCCCGTTCTTTTTTACTCTTAATTTTTGTGTGGGTTTTTACCTTTTTAATTCATTTACTTTTATTTCAAAGGTGCCTAGTATAGGAGAGAAAATAAACACATGGAATCAAATCATTATCTGTAACTGGCTATTATTCCCTCTTAGCACATAACGTTAGTGGGGCATTAGTCATGAGAGAGCTCACTCAATTTTTTCCAACTATTTGAGGTCTTTGAGGGAAATTACTTATACTTTTAGGAGTCAACAAGAAAGTTAAACTTATTGGACTTCATATACATTTAAGAGTGATTTAGTGAATTTGTTTCTTTCTTTTTTTTTAAAGAGAGTGAGCGCCACGTGTGTGTGTGGGGGGGTGTGGAGGGAGAGAGAGGGAGAGAGAGAGAATCTTAAGCAGGCTCCATGCTGAACCCCACACAGGGCTCGATCTCACCACCCTGAGAGCATGACCTGAGCGGAAGTCAAGAGTCACATGCTTAACTGACTGAGCCACCCAGCCGCCTCTGATTTAGTGATTTTTGTACTTCTTTTAGGGCTTAGTTGTTCTGTTCAAGAATAACTCAGGAAGAGAAGACCAACATGAAGGGTTATCCCCCCCTTTTTAAATAACATCTTTATTGAGATGTAATTCACATACCATAAATTTCATACTTCTTAAATGGACAGTTGTTTAGTGTATTTACAGAGTTACGTATCCATCACGACTATCACATTCCAGAACATTTTCATTACCCCAAAAAAGAAACTCCATACCCATTGGCAGTCACTCCATCTTCCCACCCCTCCCCTCCAGCTCCTGGCAACGATGAATCTACTTTCTGTGTTCTATGGATTTGCTGCTTCTTGGACATTTCACATAAATGGAACCAAAAATAGGTGACTTTTTGTGTCTGGCCTCTTTCACTTAGCATAATATTTTTAAGGTTCATCCATGTTGCAATATCTATCAGTATTTTGTTTCTTTTTGTTGCCAAATAGATACCATGTTTTGTCTATCTGTTCCTCAGTTTATGGATATTTTGGATTGTTTCCACGTTTTGGCTATTATGAATACTGTTGCTATGAACACTCATGTACAGGTTTTTGTGTAGACATATGTTGCCATTTCTCTTGAGCCCGTATTTAGTAATAGAATTGCTGAGTCATATGGTAACTTTATGCCTAACTTTTGAAGAACTGCCAAACTGTCAAATTGAATGCACCGTTTTACATTCCCATCAGTGGTGCACAGGGGTTCCAATCTCTCCACATCCTCGTCAACACTTGCTGTTGTCTTTTTTATTATAGCCATCCTAGTGGCATGCCTGAAGGATTATCCTGTCTCTACAGAACTGTCAAAGATCTTTGACAGTCAAGCCCATCCCAGTCTGGGCTTCAGGCTCGCCTCTTGCCAATCTTCCTGGCTGCCCTTTGTCTGTCTATGCCAGTCTTTGTGGGTTCCATGCTGCCAGACCTTTGCTCATGCTGGTCCTCAGCCTGGAATGTTCCCTTCCTCCCACAACCTCTTGAGTTTACCAGAGGCAGGCAATATATGTTCATTTCTCTAAATAGTGTTATTGTATCATATGTGGTAGTTACATGTTAGGCATTCAAAATATTTGAATGAGTCTTACTCATCCTTCCGGATTAGAGCAAGTTCAAATGTGACCCCTCTGAGACATAGCCCTTTACCTCCCTCAGAGTTAATCATTTTATTACTGGTTTCTTTAGTTAGTTCTGCACAGGTCTTTTTGTCCTGATAAGTTCCAGTTAGTTGTGCACAGGTCTTTTTGTCCTGATAAGTTCCTGGAATGCATGGACCACATCTCATCAGGCTGGATATCTCTAGGGTCTCGTAATGTGCTTGGTACTCAGGAAGTATTCATGATTATATGGACGAGATGGAGGGAAAGACTGGTTGTAGATTTTCAGTAAAAGCATATTTATAAAATTAACAGGTGTATAGATTAACTTCCTGGAAGTTGTGTTTTATGTTCCTTTTAAATAGATGAAAGCATTTTTAAGAATAGATTATCGTATTTAGTTATCTCTCCTCCCTTTGGTTCCTCTACTCCTCCCCACATAGATAAGGAGGGATGGTTACCCATACTGTGAATAAATTGTAGATGCTGTGCTAGAACAAAATTAACCTCCCAATTAAATGAGGACATTCATATGTTACTACTATTTCCCTTTGCACGGTATGCATATATAAACAAAACCCCCTCCCGTTTACAACAAAAGAAGGGTTGTGTGCATGTTCTTTTTTTTCTTTTCTGGGGGAAGGGTTAAGTATTCTGTGGAAAGGAGAGAGCCAAGCTAAAATAATGCTGATATTTAGGTTCTGGGTGTTATTTGCCTAAGATGCTAGATGGAGCCCAGGAGAAATTCCTTTTGCGTTCTCTGTTGCTCCAGAGTACCCGTGGACTTTCACTGAGATGAGTTAGGACTTGAACATGTCTCATGGGAATCACTGGATTTCTGCAGGATTCATTGGTTGGGTGGTTAAATATGTTCCTTTGCTAACTTCCTCTTGGAGGACAATAACCTTAGCATTCGAATTCAGAATATTCAGCTCTAAAGGACTGTTCTGTTGTATTCCTCACAGGGCCACTTTCCTGTTCAAGAGACTGTTTTAGAGGGAAGCCAAGAGACCTGGATTGGTTGACATTATTTATGTCCTCATTGAATCTCAACTAATGTCTTGCCTCCTGTGCCCTTTTCTTTTCTTTTCTTCTCCTCCTCCTCCTCCTTCTTCTTCTTCTTTTTTTTTTTTTTAACAGATACTAATTTTGTGTTGGGGAATGCCCAGATAGTGGACTGGCCTATCGTGTACAGCAATGACGGATTTTGCAAGCTGTCTGGCTATCACAGGGCGGAAGTGATGCAAAAAAGCAGTACCTGCAGGTATTTATGGTCGGGGTGGTTCTGTGGAACAGTGTATCGTGGTATCTTCTGGAAAAACAAAACGGCTTACTCAGTGTGGGGATTGCCTTTCTCTCACTTCGTGTTTCTTCAGGAACATTTATGGTAATGTCATCTCTTGTTCACGCACTATAACCAGGGAATCAAAGAAGGCTTCAAACACGGTCTCTGCAAACTGACTGGACTTTTAAGTCGCTGAGACGGGGGCACCTAGCGAAACTCAGGAAAGTCGTTTTATCTAGAAAATAGGGACTCAGAAGTTTATGAGGTGTTAGACAAAGTGATATGAAAGTTAGATGATTCTATCAAACGGAATGAAAATGAAATAAAATTTTAGGTGATTAAATTAATTTTTGAGACTATGTGACTGAGAAGAATCCCTACGATGTTGGCACCAAGGGCCTTGTTTATAGGGCTTTTGCCAGAAAAAGAGAAGAGTACTGAGATTTGATTGCCTTCTAATTCATGCTGTCACATCTCTGGTGGCTCACTCAAGGGCAGAGGCAAATGGTGCTAACAGTGCACACAGCCTGGGCATTTGACAGGGTTCCTCACCAAGCAGTACCCTTGGGCCAGGGCACTAGAAATGCTCTTTTAAAGCATCTACAATGTGTGGAGCCGAGCAGAGCCTGTGCCCGGCCCCGCCAGATGCCCCGCTGCGGTGCCGTGGTAAGGTCTTGGTTCAGCACAGCCCTCAGCTGCTCTCAGTCCTTCTCACTCCTTCTTTGGAGTCTTCTGTCTTCACTGGTGTTTGCACGAAATGGAATCATTTTCCCAGACCTGCCAAATCAAGAAATAAAGTCGTCTCTGAAGGGTGGAAGAACCTGACACAGGCATCGTCTTCGGTTTCCAGAAGTTGCACTTGGATGGTCTTAAATCAGCCATGTGACTAGTTCTGGTGAAAAGTATTAAGTGCTTCGAAAATACCATTTTCTTAAATTTTAGGTGTTTGGGGCTGAGAAATGGGAAATTTAAGATTCCCCTACTTCCCTCAAAGGTGTAGAAATTGTGACTCTTAAGTCTTGCAATAGAATTCTCTTATATTTGTGGTGTGCTGTGATCCTCGTTAGCGTCTGTCTCTGTATCTGCCTCTATGACGATATTTGCATATATATAATCAAAACAAATCAGGAGAGTTAGCCTCACTTTGTGGTGTGACCTGAGCAACCTTTCCTTCCCTTTCTTGCTTCTTATTGGCTCTAACCAGACCCTTGAAGAAGATCAGATAAGATAACTTGCAAATTTAGCCACCTTTTCTTTCATGCACAGTTGTAGGAAACTTACTTAATTCCCTGAAGGTGTCCCTTTCCTAAAGATAAAGTAAACCTGCCTTTGTGCTGGCTACATTCCTAATAGCTCAGGAACCTCTTGTGCTTATTTCTTGCATTGCAGGTATCTGAAATCTAATATCCAGGTTAAGGAAACTTACAGCTACCAGTAAATTACAGTTTGAGGAAGTACATAACATAAGACTAATGAAAGCTGCGTGTAATTATGGCCCCTCACTTCTTTCAAGTCTCCATTTTACAGGGATTTGTTTCACCTTGTGAAGGAAATGGCCAGCCTGTATAACCATCGTGTCACTTAAATGGAGGTCACTTATCCAGCAAATTAACTCAGAAAGAGAAAGTGGGAGGAAGCTAAAAAGGCAACTGGCTAAATAAGATGGTCACAGAGCTTACGTTTTTGCCTCCTAGAAGTCCTCTTGTTCTCAGGCAGGGCCAATTTAGTCTTGATCAAGCCATCTTAACTCAACACGCTCAGTTATCTGTTTTCCTGATTTATAGATGAAAAGCGGAGTGCTCCACGAGAGAAGCACAAGGGCAACCATAGATAATCATGTGTCTCAGAGAACTGAGAAGGGACATAGTTACAGAAGTGACACAGAACTCATAAAGTCAACAGCGAGGGCACTTTTCCTTACAGAGTGCGGGCATCCGCAAGCCTGCAGTAAGCTCAAGGCTGGTCCAGTATCAAGCCAAGCAAGGCCTTGGAGCGGGTGGTAGCCTCTGAGGTTCTTTGTGGCTCCGCAGTTCTAGGACTCTGTGATTCAAGTCATCACAAGAACGACTGCATTCAGTATGCACAGTTTTGGAAGATGGGGATTGTATTGTTTAGGAATGCATATCCCTGCTTCCACCTTACCCGAGACTTGGGGGCTGAGTGTTGGTGTCCTTCTTGTTCTGGTCGCATGAAGGCCAGAGGTGGACAGGGGAAATGCTCGCTGGGTCCATGGGGAGCCTTTGTCCGAGGACTGGCTTTTCCTGCCCCATTGAGAGATAGCTTTTCTCCTCTCCCATGTTGTCAGTGTCCTGTGCTGTGGTTTACTCCACCTAGCTGGGGATATATCTTATTCCCAGATGGACAAACCATATTCACAATGGGGCCCAGGAAAATGGACAGTCCTGGCAGTTTTCCTGCCTCTGCTGAGAACCAGAATTAGTAGGAAGTTCTATCTGGAGGTTTTCTCTCATTTTCTTTCATGCTACTTATTTCCCCCCTTAGTCTACTTTTCTCCCAATGTGAGCAGTAGGGAGGTGTATGGGTAAGAATTGTAGGATTTTATCATTTCAGTTTTTTAAACCCAGTGGTTTTTTGGGGGATGGGGTGGGGTGGGTAGGAAGCAGAGTTGCACACACAGTGGCTGAATCTTCTGTTTCTTTCCTTAGCTCTGCCTTAACGTTTGGAACATCAGATTGCACCCTTTGGTGCAGTTCTTTGGTTGATGAATTTTTGTGATTTTTCCTACTCTTTTGTTTATTTGGTTGGGAATTAGAAGAGGAAAGAATCTGTGGTCCAGATTTACTCTGCCATCTTTCCTGGGAAATTTCCCAGAGTTGTCCTTCTAAAATGCAAATCTGATTATGGAACTCTTTTGCTTAAAACCTTCCAGTGTCTCTCCCCTCACTGCTTTCAAGAGAAGGTTTAAATTACTTCACATGGCTTACCATGCCGTGTGTTCCTTCATGATCTGGTCTGTGCTTACCTTTACCTCTGGGAAGCCTTCACTGACCACGCAGGGCTCTGTGCCTGAATTCTGTGTTCTGTAACTCTGTATGTGTTGGTCACACTGTTTTCTGAGCCACTCTTTTCTGTGTGTCTCCCCTTATTATACTGTTGATTTGGATGGGAGGTGGTGATAGAGTGCTGGTGAATTAGTAAGTCTTTTTTGAGTGAATGTTTTCATTGTGTGTGTTTGTGTGTGTTCATTCCACATAGCACGGTGCTAGGTATAGGAGAGATGTTTAACATATGCTGGCACAATACCCAATATTTATTAAACTAACGTGAACTTTTTGGTTGATTTGCAGTTTTATGTATGGGGAGCTGACCGATAAAGACACAATTGAAAAGGTGCGGCAAACATTTGAGAACTATGAGATGAATTCCTTTGAAATTTTGATGTACAAGAAGAACAGTGAGTATTCAGACCGTTGCGAACCATACCTTTATGTGCTTGGAATAGTAAAAGAGGTCCTCTTCCTCTGATGTCTTGGCTCTTCTTTTCCCGCATTAGCTAAATGTGGTCACGTGAGGCTATTGTGTACGTTGGGATAAATGGTGTGGATTGCTGAGTTACGCTGTTCCTTATGGAATACGTGAACTTGTCACCGACCAATTAAGACTTTTTTTTCTTTTTTAAAGATTTTATTTATTTATTTGAGAGAGAGAGAGATAGCACTAGTCGGGGGCAGAGGGAGAGGAACAAGCAGTCTCTCCGCTGAGCAAGGAGCCTGATGCAGGCCTCCATCCCAGGACCCTGGGATCATGACCTGAGCCGAAGGCAGATTCTTAACCGACTGAGCCACCCAGGCGCCCCAAATGAAGATTTCCTGATATCCGGGCACCTGGCTGGCCCAGTCGGTAGAGCATGTGACTCTTGATCTTGAGGTTGTAAGTTTGAGCCTGACGTTGGGTGTAGAGATTACTTAAAAATAAAATCTTAAAAAAAAACAAAACAACTTCTTCATCTTTTTTTCTACCAAGGTAAAGTTTTTCCTATTGGTTTACTTATGATGAGCTGCTAGCTGAAGATACTTATAGACTTTTTTTTTAAAGATTTTATTTATTTATTTGACACAGAGAGAGACAGCGAGAGAGGGAACACAAGCAGGAGGAGTGGGAGAGGGAGAAGCAGGCTTCCCGCGGAGCAGGGAGCCCGATGTGGGGCTCGATCGCCGGACCCTGGGATCATGACCTGAGCCGAAGGCAGATGCTTAACGACTGAGCCACCCAGGCGCCCCATGATACTTATAGACTTTAAGCCTTCTTGGGGGAAAGGAAGACCATGGGACAGTGACTTTGGCCAGATCATCTTTGAATCTGTCCTCCACAGTACCTAGCACAGCAGGTAACACCAGTAGACGCCCTGTTAGGGGAAGGGGATTAAGAGTACACCTGTCTTGATGAGCACTGAGTAATGTATAGAATTGTTGAGTCACTCGTTGTACACCTGAAACTAATATAACCTTGTATGTTTACTACACTGGAATTAAAAAAAAAAGAGTTTCTGAATAAAATTTTCTTCTCCTGATGACCTTAGTTTTCTGTCAGAGACGGTATTAATAATTCAGAGTGGACTGTGCATTTATATTTGTTTTGGCTACAGTTACTTCCACTAAGCATGTTAATGAAGGATTTTGGTCAATAGCCATACACAGGTATAAAACTCGCTTCTCTCCTGAGGTTTCCCATCGAATGGAGGTGAGCTATGTTGGAAGTATGGGACAGTGGGGTGTATGGCCATAGTGGGGGCTGCAGAGATGTCCAGTAGTGCTGTGTTTTTGGTTTTAAAAAATGATTTTGGGGCGCCTGGGTGGCTCAGTCTTTCAGCGTCCCCCTGCATGTGTTCCTGCTCTCTCTCTCTGTCAAATAAATAAATAAAATCTTAAAAAACAAAAGAAGCAAAAACCATTTTGTCTGTAAAGCATTCTGTTCTTTATATGTAGGATTGGATGGTAGGTCATAGGTTCAATAGCACATTTCCAGAGTGTCCCAGATGGCCCATGAGGCTTCGTGTTTATCTTGGTGGCATTCAGAGTGATACATTTTGCTCTGGAAAGCAAAGGGCACATGTTTTATCTGGAAGGAGCTGGGTCTTCAGTCTGGAGTGTTGGGGCGGGCAGCTGAGAGCACCCTTTGCTTGGTGCCGTGTGCTGAAGCTGATCTGAGAGACTGGCTCGGGACATCAGCTAATCCAAGAGGGTTGGTCCTGTAGCTTTCATACTAGCGTGGAGCCTTGCTCCGTCTCCCTCCTTCAGCCAGTAGGTTGAGTTCCTACCCCACTATTTGGCAGGAGAGGAACAGGGTGAAAGACTGTAAATGGCTCTGTGCTTGTCCTCCACCATGGGGAGCACAACCCAGAGCACCAGCTCTTACCAGGAGCACACTGGCCTTTTCATGGGGAGGAGATGCTATGTCCATGTGCCCTGAGCTAATGGAGTTAAGTTCAAGGTTTTCCACGCTGGGAGTTTTGCGTACTGAACAGTGTGGGTTTCCCCTTGACACAGCATACTAATTGGGTAGGTGTGTCACAAAATAATGCTTTGCATTTATATTTTGCTTCAGAGTTTTCAAGCTTCATTAGACTGTGCATTTAACTTGCTGAAATTATATGTGTTTGGCACACAAGGGAGAGAAGGGGAAACTTAATTTAAATTGAGTCAGTGATCTCACTTGCCATTCCCTTTAGGGAGCATGTACCCCGGAGGCAGTGTGTGATGGAGGAGGTGAAGCCACCGTCCCCTCAGCTGCCTCCGGGGCTGAAGGTCTTGTATGATGAGCGTCTCGTTGCACTGAAGATGCCTTCTTATAGCTGAAGTTCTGTACTTGAGGTAGACAGGGCCCACACATGTAAGCCAATTGGTTCAACTAATGTCCCGCCAAAGAATGAACATCTCTTCCCTGCGTTGAGGTTGCAGTAGGCATATTGAGAGATGCATGCCAGTCTCCAGGGGGGCATGACAGCCTAGGCATGGGGCTCTACTTTCAGGGTGGTGGTAAAGAATTTTTAAGAGTAATTGTGGTCATATGTGATTTTTACCTTACCCTTTGGCTTGAGAAAATAAACTCTGTTGAAGATAGGACTCCACTCTATTTTAAAATGTTGATTCTCTAAGCCCCGTGAAGTTGGCATGGCTGATGTTATTTATGCCCATTGTATAAGAAGTTCAATTCCTTACTCAAGGTCATGCAGAGCCAGGACCTAGTTTCCAGTGTCCTGGCCATTCTTCCAAGACTCTGGGTACAAGGCAGCGCCAGCATATATGGTTGTGGAGGTTATTCCCTGCATAGATGGCAATTGGAAACCAACTTACGGTTTGCTTGCTGAATCCTCCATGCACCGTACCTAGCATTACATCTGTGTTGAGGGAGGAGCTTCTCTTTCTAATTTACACAAAGATGTCTAGAAGGCTAGTGGGAGTTCCATACAAGGCTAAGTCTGCTCGGAAAACAAGAAGCATGAAATTGATGCAGATAGTGTTGGTTTCTTCTTAGGAACCTGTTCACTGCCTCCAAACTCCTCCAAATCCCATCCTTTCCTAAGGAATTTAGGAACTTTAAATTATTTATTAAGCCTGGGAATTTTTACATTTATACTGAATTCTGTGCTTTTTTTTTTTAAAGATTTTATTTATTTATTTGAGTGCGAGAGCACATGTGGGAGAGAAGGACAGAGGCAGAGGGAGAAGCAGACTCCCCCCTGAGCAGGGAGCCCATGCAGGGGCTCGATCCCAGGACCCCGAGATCATGACCTGAGCCAAAGGCAGATGCTTAACCAACTGAGCCACCCAGGCACCTCTATGCTTTTTTTTTTTTTTAACTGCTTTTTATTGACTACTCTATGTCAGACACAGGCTTACGCTAGGGATGTAGTTAGGAAAATAGACACAGCCTCTGCCCCTACAGCAGGGGTGAGGCAGCATCCGCCCCACAGTACCTAGCTGTAAGTGTTTTGTTGGAGACACCATTTGGAGAGGATCATTGAGCCCTAACTTAGGAGGTCAGAGAAGGGGCAGACAGGAAATCTTTTTTTTTTTTTTTTTTAAGATTTTATTTATTTATTTGACAGAGACACAGCGAGAGAGGGAACACAAGCAGGGGGAGTGGGAGAAGGAGAAGCAAGCTTACCGCCGAGCAGGGAGCCTGATGTGGGGCTATGACCTGAGCCCAAGGCAGACCCAGGCGCCCCCAGACAGAAGATTTATGCAGAAACTGAAGATGGTGGGAGTTAGGCCAAGGGAAGGGCAAAGAGTAGCCCAGGCTGATGAAATGCACTGAAGTTTCAAGAGACCCAAAGCAGGGCTTCTCAGACTTTGACATGCATAGGAGATCACCTGCAAATTGCAATACTCATTCTCTTCAGTAGGTCTGGGGAAGGGTCCGAGCTTCTGCCCCCAGGTGAGCAGCACCGCAGGTGCACGTGTCACATTGAGTAGCAAGGACAGAAAGTAGCTATAGTGAAGACTGACTTCGTGTCTACAGGGTGTGTCTCCTTCATGGCCGGATCCCTTGCACCCGGCACACCTGACACATAGCAAATTCTCCCCCCAAACTCATGGAGTAATTACATAAATATGTAAATCGATAAGGCGTGACCATTGAGGCTGGAGAGATTAGGAAGAGCCAGTAATGCAGCCACATTAAAGAGTTTAGAATTTGTCTTAACATTGTTTGGGGGGCACCCGGATGACTCAGTCCGTTGAGCGTTCTGCCTTCGGCTCAGGTCATGACCTCAGGGTCCTGGGATCAAGCCCTGCATCAGGCTCCCTGCTCAGTGGGGAGTCTGCTTGTCCTTCTCTCGCCCCCTCCACCTCACCCCTGCTCATGCTCTCTCTGGCTCTCTCGTAAAATAAATAAAATCTTAAAAAAGAAAAAAAGGAGCAGTGTTCGGGAAAGAGGGTGGGGGTGAGGGGTGTTAAGTATATAATCAGATTTACATTTTAGAAAGATGACTCCAGTAGAGTGAGGAGATGGAACAAGGCCTAGGAGACTGGAGGTCAGGGGCCCACTTAGGAATGACCTGGTGACAAGATAAGGTTGCGGCCTGCTGGGGGGAAGGGGGCAGAGGCAGTTGAGAAGGAGAGATGTCCAGGGATGTCTCCTCCAGGACCGGGAGGACTGAGTGTGGGGACTTTGTCAGTGGTGCCTACTGACTGGCTCTCCCCTCAGTCTGCCGAGCCCCAATCAGTGCCCAGGAAGCAGGAAGCATCATGTTTCCCGTCAGGAGCTCCTTGTCTGGACTGAAGGAAAACATGCCAAGTATCTAGCACAGAGCCCGGCGTGGCACAGGTGCTCGGTGAATGTTTGTTGAGTGACTTTGGAAGGAACTTGGCAGTTACCAAGAAACAGATGAGTGCAAGAGAAGCATGTGGTTCAGAGCGAGAGCCTCGGGGCTGAAGTGGGAGTGGCGTGGGG